TAGTCCCTTAGCTACGAGCCCATCAGGCCAGCCCGGCTTGGCAGAGTTCAAGAGGGGGTGCGGCCTTGTGCAGGGGCATTTATAGAGGAAGGTGGCTGGTGATTGGAGCAAATTATTTTGATCTCTCTGGCGTCTGTGACCTGGGGGTCACGTGATATCCCACTAGCGAAGTCCTAAATAGTCCCATGTCATACCTATAAAATTCCAACCTCGCCTGATGCACGAAGGGCCTGTTGCTTCAACCTCAACATTCCCTAAAGTGTTCTCCTCTTGTGGTTGATTTCCTATGTATGTTAACAGAAGATTAATCATCACAATTCATATTTTCTATTACTTGTCTTTCCTTACTTACTTCTCAACTGTTCAAAAGCTCTGATTATTTTAATCTTTTTTTTGTGGAGGTGGCATTTTTCTAAATTAATAAGAAGGTATAGACAATCAAAAACATAGATTCCTATACATGAACTGCAGTATCATTTATATAACTCGGCCAATGTCAAAAGTTACATAGTATTTCTCATACAATGAGTTAACAAGAGTTTTGGCCATAAGTAACAGTGTGGATTTTCCTATATTTTCTTTTTTTTTATTCCACTCAACCACAAAGGCCAAGTAATGACTCCCAAGGCTCTCAAGTATGCAAAATAAAAAACTTAAATGGCCAGTTGTGGTGGGTGTTTTTGCGCACAACCAGCATGCCTCGTTACGCAATGGAAAATTTAGGTATCCGAGCTTAATTTCGGGAGCGAGCTGGTTGCGCTTTGGGAAGAGTCAGGGGAGAACATGTCAGAGACACAGGGAGAAACGCGGGAGATACGAGGGAGACCCGCTGTTGCAACATGGTTCTTCTGCATATGGTCCGAGCTCGGTACCCATGTTTAGAGTTTTTTTTTTGTGTGCTTTCAAGAGCCCGCGGCTGTCAATAAAAGCGGCAGCAGCTGCACCAGGCGTGCACATTCGAGTGCATTGCTTGAATGTGCTTAGAGCAAATAACACAAAGTGCCCCGTCCACACATTTCAACAGAAATTTCATTATCAGCAGATAAAGGTTGTAAATCGTGGATCCGTGGAATATTTTCATCCCTAGTTATATCCTATTTCACACAACAAACCCACTTATACATTTTGGATAGTAGTAGCTCAAAAAAGTATTTCTCAGCCTTTCAACCCAACCTGTTTTTATTGAGCCAGTTTCTGTTCTTCTCTGGTAAGCCGTGTGACTCCTCTGAACATAACAGTGCGCTAGACAGATTGAAATAACGTAATACTTTTGATTGGTACTGGATCTACAGTACTTTCCTCTGAATACTCACTGCTACAACGCTCAGGGAACGAAAAAAAACTCTTGCTTCACGAAGGCTAACTTTTGAAAATTAAACAGTTGCTCATGCTTCAGTTTGGCGCTGGTGAAGACAGCCAAACACTGCAGAGAACGGAAACGGGTCACGTGCTGCTGCTGCTGCTGTTGCTCTGGAGCAGGAGGAGGCGCGACGTGTGCACAAACTGAAGACATGTGGTCCCGGACCGTCCGGACACTGGACATCATGTCATATTTTGGTGGGGACTTTTATCCTCACCAAATAATGAGGGGACATGTCCCATGGTCCCCACGCAAACCTACTCCCTTGATTTCTTGACCACTTGTATTGCTAGATCAAGACTTAAATGCTCGGTCGGCCGATGACTGTTTTTCTACGTCTAGGGGAGGTCGGGATTGGACGTCCATATCACGTCTATGGTAAGGTCATTGTTTACGTCCATGCGCACCCCTACACAGACGATCGTTTGGAACGTGAATAAAAGGTCACGACGACCGACGCGATATAGACGTGATCTGAAGGTTGAGTGGACGTCGGAATTTAGTGGGAATCCCGATGAGACTCCCTGACCCCCATCAGATCCAAAAATCACACCTATAGGGGTTTTGAATATCCTTGTGGGTGGATAAATTAACTGACCATGTTTCCATGTATGGTTTTAAAACATCACTTGATCATAACTACACTGAATAGATTTATTTGTTCAGCTACAACCAATAGATTTATGCCATCCACAAGCTTGTTACCTGCTATTGACATCTTTTTGTCTGGTGATTTTCATTCAAACTTCTCACTACTTGACTTGGGATTACGAAAATGAAAAGAAGCAAGAAATATAACTTATTTTGATGATGAAAGTTTGTCAGTCCCAGTCGTTCAGAATCTAGATTCAGATTTCATCATTCACAATTTTCCTGTGGTCTTAAAAATCAGGGAAAATCCTCAAAACCCCATGAACTTAATGGTCATGGTCCCCCACAAACCCATGTCCATCTGCTCCCACTGATGTCTGCTGTCCCTGGAAAGACACTTAACACCACTTTGCCAATCCTCCACTAAAACACCAATTCTGTAACTTCAGATGAAGGAGCAGCCATCTTCCTGTGGGACCCACAACCTGCAGGAGAATAAGCGAGGGACGGTGCCTGCGAATTGGGTAGCAGTTTCTGATTGCCACCCACCTGAACACCAGCAATTGATAAATCAAAGGGATGAAAAATAACAAAAAAGGAATTAAAATAATCTGTAAAGCAATTTATTAGCCGTGGAAGTAGTGGAGTGTGGAATCATGTGTAGACAAAATTTTTATGGGATCAGTTTATTGCACTTCAAACACACAATACAACTATTGAATTATAAATATGAAAAAAAAATACACACAAAACATATTAAGTCTAGGTGCATAATCCCTAAACTTTGGTTCCTGACTGCCCATGGGTTACTCTTTCATTCACAGCGGATATTAATAAAAGTGGGGGTTTAGATTTGCTCAGAGAACTGATCCAAACTATTTAAAGCCCGCTTTCAATTATTCATTTAGAATTTTGAATCAGCAAATAAGTTGTATGATAAATATAGTGAGTGGCCTTGATGAATGTAAACTGAAAGGTATACACTCAAAATAACGCAAAATAAAATTAAATAACAACAAAAATGGAATGGTCACATGATTTGATGAAATAAAAATGTTCCTATAATGAAAGTCCCGTACATGAATGAGGTTCCCCATATAAATAATTTTAGTTTATAGTGCATAAAAGCCATGAAGCAGGTCTCACGACATTTCTTGCTGTAAATCAAAACCAGACAATAAAACATGAAACTCAGAAGAACAAAAGTGAGTTTAAATGTATTTGGCCCATACCTCATACCAACATCTTGACTGTAGATCATGGGAAACACTGGTCACTCTAGTGTAGACACCGGGTCAATTCCTATCGCCACAACATGATCCCAATTTGTAATTCCAGCCAAAAAGCCAAACCCCCATTATTACACACACCAAAAGCCCACCACTGTCACCCTATAAAGAAAAGAAAAACACGTAAAAAAAAAAAAAAAAAAAAAAAACTTTTCTGCGTATATCTCTGCGTCACATTGAAATGAATAGTAGTTTGCAAAAGTTCTACCACTTATTCTTGAGAGGTTGATTATGTTATCTAAATCATCTCTCAGGTTTTATTCCAAATCTCTGGAGCTCATCTCTCTCATGTGGATGAGTCTGAGAATTATTCCCACTGCTCACCTGGCAGGAATCTTTTCCTCCCTCCATGTGTCCCCACACAGCATGTACTTAGTGACACTCCCACTTTAGGAATCCAGGAGTGTTTTGCACACCCTCTGTGTCAATGATCTTCACATTTACATCCCTTGATTATTTATGCAAAATCTGTATCAGAGACACATTGTCATGTGCTCTACACCCAAGCTTGATTCAGAGCAATGTCCGATTGTTGGAGAGGTTGTCGTAGTCCTCACTGAGTATAACTTGGCGACTTCCATATGGTTGTTGAAGAGCATCGAGGGACACTACTCCACCCATAGACTTTCCACTTGCTCGCAACTGGACTGGGCTCAGTTCTGTAATGAAACAGTAGTTAGAGAGGGTTGAAGTAATCAGATATTTAAGTCATGAAAAACATAAGTCCGTAACTTGTGTCTAATCCCCCCAAGAAACATGAGCAGCATCAGCACAAAAATTCCCGAGAAATAAGAAACTCCTCCACAAACATGTGAGTTTTGATTAACGCAGAAAAGACTTCCAGGGCCACTCGCCTGGTTTAGACAGTTTCTCCGTCTATGAATCCGTGCAACAGACTTCTGCTGACCGCACTCTGAAAAACAAAATAGATGAAGAAATACCTCAAAAAGAGGTAAACATATATTTTCATCAAATCAAACCTGAACAAAACACAAAAAGTGAGTAACCTCAATTTCAGCAGAGTGAGCAAAGGTATGCACTGTGATAACGTGGTCTCACTCAGAGCACTTTGACTCCACTCTTGTCTCCATTGAGGAAAACACAAAACATGTAGACCACAAAAACTGATTGCAACATAGTGAGGTAAGCATAACCATTTGATTGTTCACTAAAATGTTAGGATAATCTGAGTTCATGCTCCCATTTATGAACTTCAGTTTGTCCTTGGATCCACAGTCTTCTGGTCGTCAGGTTTTTAACCTTTTTGTATCTGCCTTTGGATATTAATGACATTTTAGCCATTGAACGAATTCCCATTGGATTATATTAATCCTGTTTGCCAACCATTGATGATGGAATTAGTCCTAATTCAAATAAATAAAAATGGAGTCTTCTGACCTATACACTGCAGGGAGGACAGTCTGTTCGTCTGGACACTCAGGACTAGAATAGATGAGCCATGATTACAAAACAATTAGACATCATACACAACCAATAATATTCCTTAGAAATAAAATGAACACAATACATGACACTGGCTGAACCCTGGATAACTGAACGTCCCTCATGAGTGCTTGTCAGACCCTTTGATGTGTACCCTGATTGTATTTCGGTCCTCATACGAACTGGAAAGAAATTTACATTAGCTAAATTATATAAATGTAAATGGTGAATTATGGGTCAGAAAATTTTAATGCATTCTTAAAGCATGAAATACATGCAAAAGTGAATACATTACCTTTCAAAACCAAGCTGCGCACATGTATGATCAGAATAAGTTTTGTTCCAGTTACTGGAGCAAACTGGTAAGAAACAGCCATCCTCCGCTGTATTGACCTTGTTTTAAAACAGCATAAGAAGTCTGACTAAAAACAATCAGATTAAGATACATTCAGCTGTGATAAGGAAAGTAAACTCCAAAAAAACCAACAACCAAACAAACATATATTACCAAAAAAATACATTATTACTTACTACATATCGATTCATCAGTGCCATGAAACACAATCCGTTATGCCGTCCAGTAGATGTTGGGGCAAATGTCATGTGTTTGTATAGAGACTGAATTTGTCATCGTCATATTCAGAATATAAATTCTTCTTAATGGTTGTATATTGACAGCTATCGTAGTGCCATACCCTACTGCAATAGGAATTAAAAGACAATTGTTAACACTAAGATAGATTAGCTATTGGCAACATCTAGTGGAAATTTCAAGTAAATAATTACCACAGACTTGTTCCTGAAGTTTTTCAACTACATTTTTATTCCAGAAGTGTGCATAATTGTATGTGTGCAATGATGGGATAATAATAATAATAATAATGCAAATCGTTTTTATATAAGCGCTTTTCCTGGATACTCAAAGAACGCTTCACAAGTGTCCATTATTCATTCACTCCTACACGGTGGTGCATAAAACTACTACAGGTAGCCACCACTCACCGGGGCACCACTGACAGAAGCGAGGCAACCAGTATGTGGCCATCGGCCCCTCCGACCAACCACCAACCATTCACAAAACACACCAGACTCATTTCCAGGCAATGGGGGTGAAGTGTCTTGCCTAAGTACACAACGGCAGTTTGGCACTTTACAGCCGCGGCCGCCCCACTGTGGCTGGTGTTCCCAGAGGTTAAGTGTCTTGCCAAGGACACAACGCCAGTAGTCATGGGAGTCGATGGTGAATAGTCCTAGAGCGGGGCTTGAAACCCAAAGGCCGACGCTCTACCTTGAGCTCAAGGCCCTCACATGTGTATAAAAAAAAAAATAAAAACAATAATGGGTAAATACAATAACGGTGTTGTTGCGCAATAGTGGACTCTTGGTGGATTAATGAATTGCATGGCCCAGCCCAGTACCCGCAACAAACCAGTATCCAAGAAATTTCCTTGGTAACCATAGCTTCCAGCAGCACTCTGGCCAATAACTTTCAGTTTGAACAATTTAGAACCGGGCTAAGCAGGTGTTAGGATTAGATAGCAATATGGCCTACGTGCAAGACTCTGATGGACTCCATGTTTTGACTATGATGTGACTGTCTCTGTGTGACACGTGACGTGACAATGACTATATAAACTGTGTACTGCCTTTATTCTCTCTGAGAGAAGGAAACAATGGAAACCACTGGAACTTGAGAGAAACTTAAATAAACTTCCAGAGTTTGGCGCACCACGATCCGTCTGTCTGGTTCATTCCTGACACAAGTATCTGGTACGGGTCGAGTCGAGTCGAACATGTGACACTGTAATAACCTGGCCCTTCTGTGTGCAGTGCTCCACACAAGAGTTCTTCCTGGTGACCCGCGCTCTGTCGCAGCTCGCCCTCAGACTGGAGGCGCTGCTGCCTGCTGTGGAGAGCCAGGTCCGCTCCCCTCTGCTGCGGGGCCTCCTCCTCCACACCCCCCAGCTGCTGTCCCCCGCCCACAGCGCTGTCAGAGTGCTCAACGAACAAGCTGCCAAGTAAGAAGACGTCCAAATGCACTCAAAACCATTCAGGATGAAGCAAAGTCGGTTATTTCAATGAGATGATAAAGAATTACAAATCCAGTCTATTCTTTTAATTTATTTCATACAATATTGCTTATCATTTTTCAAAGTATCTTTTTTTTTTTCTACATTTTTCAGAATTCACAAATATTGCTTGGTATTTTGACTATAATAACAATTAAGATTAAATAAAGGACAATCACAGGGACAACTTTGGCTACAAGCATCTGCTCTCTGTATCTGTCTCTACTCAAATAAACCAAATAAACAAACCATAAATGCATCTATTTGTATTGTATTTGTGATTTCAATGGGACAAAGTAGTAGATAACGGCTCAAAAGCCATTCACAAATATATTGTATTTAATCGTATTGAATTAAAACTTCTCTGCATGCCCACAGCAAATGTAAAGCGTTCCGTTAGGTCTGTGAAATGCGCTATATACAGTAAATACAGATTACTTACTTTCTTTCTGCTTCGAGGCAATATGATTGTGTTGAAGGTAATAAATAAGTATGTGGAGATAATATGTGTTGTCATCAAGGGGGAGAGGTGTCGGGTCAGAGAGTGTTTGGGTCTGTTTTTTTGTGTGTTGTGAGTGATAGGGATTGGAACTAAATAATTGTCTGCATCCTCCAACTGCTTTTCTAAATGTGTATTGTTAACATTTGTATTGCGTTTGTACATTAAAAAACCCCCCCAAAATAACTCGGATCCGACGTTTTCTTTCAGATCCGGGAACAAAACCGAGCTGTTCTCAGACTTGTCGTGCTTCCCGCTGCTGCAGGAGCGGAAAGCGCAGATCCAGGCCGTGCTCGCCAACGTCCACGCTCACATCCACGACGTACGCGGGCTGCTGAAAAACCCGAACCTGAGCTTTAAGACCGTGTCGGGGCTGGAGGTGCGAGCGGAGATAATGGTTCATATACACTGTTATTCTTACACTGTGTGTGTCTGTGTCATTTCAGTTTCTAATTGAAGTGAGGAATTCTCAAGTTTCTTCAATTCCTCAAGACTGGACAATAGTCAGCAGGTACGACGATCCTTCTGGCATCTTATACAAGTTTAATAGGTTGCGTTCATGTTATAGAATTATTTTTCAGTATTTCAGGCAGGTGCCAATTTAACTCTATGGGAAGAAGCCATATGTGAATTTTTTATATTTTCCAAATGTTTTCCCAGATCTTTTTTTCTCAGTGATTAAATTCACAAACTTGTCATATAAGTCTTATATCTTTTTGCTCTTTGTACAACATTGTGTATATTGTCACAACTTCTAGACACCTTTTATGAGAAAATTATTAGACCATGCTTATGTTATGTCCTGAAAGAGAAGATGCAGAACTTTGTGGCAGTTTTTGTTTGATGTGGACCAGAAAAGACTTTTGACAATTACTATAATGTAGATACCAAGAACGATAGCAGGTTGCAGTTTAGAAAAATCTCTATTATAAAAAAAATGACTGTATAATGGGAGGGTTTCAATATCATTCAGTTCTAGTTCTTTATGTGTGGTTATTACTTTATATTAAAATCTCCACATGACACCACTATGGATCGCTCCCTAAACCCCAGTTTCTGTCACAGCTGTGTGTTTTCTCCTCAGCACCAAGACCGCGGTCCGATACCACTCTCCGTTCCTCGTGGAGCAGTGTAAGAAGCTCCAGCAGCTCCGCGAGCAGCTGCAGATGGACTGCCAGAGGGAATGGATCCAATTCCTGGAGTACGATAATCACAGACACACACTTAAAAACTAAGCAATACAAAAACCTGGTGCCACATCTCCTCTCAAATCTTGTGGTTATTTATATATTTTGCAGCAATCATGTTAATTCAGACTTTTCTCTCTTTCCTCAGCGAGTTTGGGGAGCACTATCACACGATTAAAGGAGCTATTAGTCGCCTAGCAACCATGGACTGCCTCTTCTCATTGGCCGAGGTGGCGAAGCAGGGGGACTATTGCAGGTGAAGTCCTTGGACAAAAAGACCCGTGCACACACTCATTATGCCGGCCTGGCCCCTTCACGGAGAATAACACAGCTTTTTTAATGTAAATTCTCTGTTATTAGATCCATGCTAATTCGGGCGTTCTGCTCTCCCAAAATTCCATCCGATGGGCGGAGGAGCGACTGAATTTTGCGTTGCATTATGGGTAACACTTGCCTTCGCAACTTCCGGTTCTCTCTGCCCGGCGCATTTTCTCTAAATGGTTGAGTGTTTTCGTCATTTTCTGTATGCAAATACATTCCCGTCTCTAACTAGTGGCATATCGCGCAAATCATCCGTCCAATTCACATTCTTCCCTCTTAGCTGAACTTCATTCTCATTGTTACCATCTGTCACTCGCACACACAGCCGTTTTCGTTCACTCTGCTCGCTGTCATCTTCTTCTAAATCTTCATAAACACCATCCGCTCGTTGAACTAGCAACAACAATTCCTCCTTTCGTTTTCCCACACTGCAAATACCCTTTCGCTTCAACCTTTCACGCAATTCAGGCACTGTCAATCGTTTGTTGTTTTCGTGAGCCATATTCGCCATTGTATGAAATCAACCGGAAGTGAACTGGGCAACAAACGGTGTCATTTTTTGATCACAGCGCCGCTCAGTGGATGAAATTTTGGGAGAGCAGAATGCCCGAATTACAGGAACTTCTGGCACAAACACATCCCCCCAACCCTTCTGTCTAAATCATGGCTCGGCAATTATTTTCTCAAAGTGTCTCATTGTGGAGAGCCGGACCTTTTTTCATGCATTTGCCATTTCATTTAATTTGCCAGAATAGATAACACTGCCCCTTATAGAGCAATACCAATGGATTTTCTATTTTTCTCTCTTGTGTTTGAACTGTTTGATTCTCTGATCTATGTTGACAAATGTTAACATTAGTAAAGTCCTCAGAGATAACGACTATTGTGATTTAGGGCTATACAGGAATGAATTTAGTTTAATTGAATAGGCTATTTTCTCTGCGAAAGCTATTTAGATTTAGTTTCTTTGCTGGTTTTGTCGGATTGAACCTAAACTGGAGCAAAGGTTTTGAAGGCTTAGTATTGTAGCTGCATTTACAGATGACCATAGCAGCACACATCAAGTTACAAACATTTCTTTGGTATCGACTGCCATTAAACCTCAGACTGCAGGACAGTGTGGCTGGAAAGGGTTCGGCGGCCGCATAGAAACATGGATCGGACCGCGTGTGGCCCCCAGACCACAGTTTGCCCAGGTCCGGTCTAAATGCTGTTTTCAACTTCATTAGCTGCCAAAGATAGAGCCGTTTCCTATGAAGAAATGAGGTTGTTCCGTGTGAGAATTTCCTGCTCCCTCCATGAGATCGGATTGAGCTTGTGGTGGAATCTTCTTTTGCTGCATTTTTCATATTCATCTGTATATTTACTACTTAATGTAACACGCTCACATTGAATGCCTTGCTACACTGGAGACCAACCTATCAATCTGAAAATATTTTGGACTATTTGTGTGTGGGTGTGTCTGCTTATGTATGCTCATGTGGGTGTCTTGTCTCTCTGTGTGTGTGTGTGTGTTTTATGCACCGTGTTTGTGTGTATTTTTATGGTTTTTTGTGCGTCTTGTGTGTCTCGCATGTGTGTATCTGTGTTTGTGTGTGTGTGTATGTGTGTGTGTGTGTGTGTGTGTGTGTGTGTGGGTGTCCTGTGTCACGTCCCGGCGGTTCAGACCGGCTGTGAGTGGGAGCCTTCACCAGCAGTGTGTTCAAATACAATGCCAAACTCTCCCTCACACACACACGCGCGCACACACACACTCTCCCTCATACACACACACACTCTCCCTCACACACACACACACATGCTCACACGCACACGCACACACATGCACGCACACACACTGGGTTTCCATACCTTTTATAGAACAGCGTTGACTTGCGTTAATTTCTTGGTTCTTCTGAGGTTCTGTGCAGACGGAGAGTCTAAGGTCAGAGTTTGATCCATCTGCTGGACACAAACTGTTGTGATCTTGGCATTAAACAAATGAATTGAGTTTTGAAGTAATTAAAGTGAATTTCAGTTCATTTTTGTTGTGAAGTCCCGTCCATGCTCAGCTTTGTGATTGGACAAAATGACTTTAAATGTTTGCTGTAGGTCTAACTGACAACCTCCAACAAATCTTACACACGAGGAAAAGGACTATATTCATTATATAATTTAACATTTACACTCGTATGATTCTACTGTATTTTTCTTTTACCTTTTGATATATTGAGCTATAATAAAGAAATATGTGAGGACCTGATTTTTGCTTCCAGACAGGAGGCCATTAATGCAGTGTGTAAATACCTACTACTCTTTACTCAATTTGACATCCGTTTGTTGCCAGTGTGAGTCGTAAATGCTCCTAAAGATAAAATATATGTATTTATTTTTCCTCAGGCCTGTAGTGAGCATCAGCGAGCAGCAGATCATGATCCGTGATGGGAGACATCCCATCATCCACCTGCTGATGGGGGAGCAGAGCCAGTATGTGGCTAATGACACAGATCTACAGGTACAGGACCCTCACCTCTCGTCTTTATATGGAGCGAGTGCTGACATCACCATGGCGATGGCCGAATGCAGAAGAAGCCTATTTGAACTAAAGCTAACCAAAGCTAACTGGAGCTAATTAATTTATAGAATAATTTATTTTGCGGCGTTTGACTAGCACCATAACAGGCCCAGATGCTTGGGTGTAGTGAGCTGTATACAGATTCATTGCAGCTGTGGATCATCGCCACCAACAAAGACCTCGAGGCATTTACTTCTGTCGTCTGTTGGAGTGAAACTCTTAAAGATCTTTCAGTATTCTGTCTAATTTTTTGCTAACGTATTCCAATGTGGTGTTTTTACTGCAAATGGCAAATAAACTGAATCTGATCTGAATCTAATTCTAGTTCTAGTTGCGTTTTCTGTTGTTGGAGAATTCAAGGGCTCACCAAAATAACCCCCTCCCCCCTCCATTCTTCTGCAGTAGCTTCAGAATCCCAAAGAATCTCATCAATTCCCACAGCTACCTGACACTATTTTGTTTTATTTTTGACTTTATGACACTGTTAATGCTCTGTTATTCCTAGGCATATTTATCTGTATAGCACAGTTCATACACAAGGCAACGCTAAGTGCTGAACAAATCAAAATCGCAACTCAAAGTGCTTAAATAAAAAAGACACAATACATTAAAAAGGGTCGTATGCACGCCTAAAGGGAACTGATTTTAACCTGGATTTGAACATTTTCATTGTTTTGCTCAAATAAAAGATATATATATACACAGCCATTAAATAGAAAAATGTAAAGCTTGATTTGACGAGGTAAGTTTACACCAACATCTCTTAAGACAAAGGAGAGAATGTTGAAGCGGTAGTATTATAAGAACAAATTTAGAAAGAGGACCTGCCCTTTCGATAAATAGCTTTAGCCTCCTCTGAACGGTCCCATGACATTGTCTTGGCACTTTGCGTTTTTCGATTGCCGTCATCTGATTGTTCTGGTTCTGTGGACGTCCCCAGAGCGACGGCCGGAGAGCCATGATCATCACCGGCCCCAACATGGGAGGGAAGAGCTCGTACATCCGGCAGGTGGCCCTCATCTGCCTCATGGCTCAGGTGGGATCCTACGTCCCCGCGGCTGAAGCCCGGCTGGGGCTGCTGGACGGCATATACACCAGGTCAGTGCCTTAGACTGTGTCGGGGTCGTAGACTGTTGGTGCCGTAGACGGTGTTGGTGCCGTAGACGGTGTCGGGGGTGTAGACTGTGCCGGGGCCATAGACTGTGTCTGGGCCGTAGACTGTCTGTGCCGTAGACTGTGTCTGGGCCGTAGACTGTGTCGGGGCCGTTGACTGTGTCGGGGCCGTTGACTGTGTCGGGGCCGTTGACTGTGTCTGGGCCGTTGACTGTGTCTGGGCCGTTGACTGTGTCTGGGCCGTTGACTGTGTCGGGGCCGTAGACTGTGTCGGGGCCGTAGACTGTGTCGGGGCCGTAGACTGTGTCGGGGCCGTAGACTGTGTCGGGGCCGTAGACTGTGTTGGGGCCGTAGACTGTGTCGGGGCCGTAGACTGTTCCTGGGCCGTTGATTGTGTCGGGGCCGTAGACGGTGTCTGGGCCGTTGACTGTGTCTGGGCCGTTGACTGTGTCGGGGCTGTAGACTGTGTCGGGGCCGTAGACTGTGTCGGGGCCGTAGACTGTGTCGGGGCCGTAGACTGTGTCGGGGCCGTAGACTGTGTCGGGGCCGTAGACTGTGTCGGGGCCGTAGACTGTTCCTGGGCCGTTGATTGTGTCGGGGCCGTAGACGGTGTCGGGGCCGTAGACTGTGTCGGGGGCTGTGTCGGGGGCCGTAGACTGTGTCGGGGGCCTTAGACGGTGTCGTAGACTATGTTGAAAAAAGTAATCTACCAAAACTTCCATAAGTAGAATATCAATAAAATCATATATTTCTTCCTTCCTTTCTTCCTTCCTACTAGTTTCTTAATAAGCAAAACATTTCTAGAATTAAATTAGCCAAATATACGTAATTCTCACACCGCCATCGGGCTGAGTTTACGTCTTCTTCGATCGATTTTGAAGTAGACGAGGTGTGTTCTCCGGTTTTCTCTGCTCCCGTGTCTGGTCCATATGAGCGTTTCCATCTGCTGTAGTGACGTGCAGCATCACTGTAGCCTTTCCCCACATTAGCAGGTTACAATAGAGCTTTCTAAAGTGTTTTATCTCTTGACAATAGCAGAGCACGGCACAGTGTGGTTAATCTTAATGAGCTGCAGACGTGAGGTTTGCTTGTTCTGCTCAGTGGGAGCCGAGACACGCCGAGGCTGCCGTGTTTATTACACGTTTTAGGGTTTCGTTATTACATGCTGCGAATCGACAGCTTTAAGTTCTCTGAGATCACTACTGCTGTGATTTAGGGCTGTACAAAATTAAATGGAATGGAGAAACTTATTTTTGAGAAACCTCTGGGTTGAGAGAGGCCAAAACTCCAGGTCCACAACTTCCCAAAGAGCACAAGCATTTGTGTGTGTGTGTGTGCTCCAAAGGGTTTTCTCAGATTCTGTTAGATTTTTTTAAACAAATGTTGTTGGTGTTTTATGGAAAAAAGGTCAAGAAGTACAAATTCTAGGCAAAGAAATATTACATATTTCTGTGTATTTTTTAGCTATTAAAACAACTGAATATCAAAAAAGCCATAACAAAGAAATGGTTATCGCTGGACACCCCAATTTTGACGCAATGGTGGGAAATATGGTTAGAAATGTAGAAGCCTAAGTAAATAGCACATATGGTTGGTTTGATATACATACAGTATATTGATAAATGATATATATATATATATATTTTTTTTTTAATTTTTTTTATTGATCACTCCCTGTTCTTTATATGTTCCGTATTTTCTTCTGTATTAACTATGAAAATGCATAAATAAAGAATAAAAAATGAAAAAACACTTCACTACTATACTAACAAATCCTAAATACAATAATAGAGCAAAATAAACTATTGCACTGTACTACATGTGGAACGTTCCAGCACAAAAGTGACAGAGCACCTTTGATTGTGACTGTTTTGCTCTCCTCTTTTCTCTTGGCTGTGGCTGCAGTAAAACGGCAATAAGAATTCTCCGTCTGGAATTAGCGCTAATGTGACTTTAATAAAGACTGGGACAGAGCGAGCGGACGGGCGCCACATGGGACTTTCTGTCTAAACGTTTTTACATTGACGCCGCTCAGTGAAATGAATCACAGTGAGCAGGGGTGGAATCTAACAAGGCAGGAGCAGAAACTGTGACTTAAAGCTGGGCTACCTAACTTTCAAACAACAAAATGGAACTGATTCAAACGACTGTTGTTCCTCTGGCTCTCAACTCTCACTAGTTTTATTGTGACATGTTTAGATCAGCTGAGGTTATCAGCGGTGGTTAGCCCGAGTGTAAACACCCACACCCGAGCCACACTCACCAGGTGACTGCTTTAAGTCTCGCTGGATTGCACTGAACTGTAGATAATGTAGAGTGGTAGAAGATAAGGTTCTGCAAAATTACCGGTATATTTCTAAATATGCTATTGCTACACTTGCAAAAAGTTGCTCTGGTCTGTTGGACTTGGTTGAACAAAATAAACAATATTGTGTTGCTTAAGCGTCTGTATTCAGTCATTATGGTACACTACAAATCCGTGTGAAAAGAAACAACAAAAATATTTCTATAGGATTAAAATATAAATTGATTAAAAAGCCTCTAATTGATTATTTTTTTATAAGTCAAGTCCCGACCCTTATTTTGATTTGATTTGAATACTGTATTTTGAGCCATACAAAATTATAACGTTCAACAACCACATAACAAAAAGGAAAGACAAATGTATGTACATTTATTTGAACTATAACTGTTTTTATTAATGCATTGTTACTGTATAATATAATGGTGTATTATGCATGTGTGTTCTCCATGATTTGCTTTAGTTATTATTTAGACTACAATTGTACTGCGACTGCTAAAAGGTATAGCTCCTCTGCCATTTCTGTATCTCTCCTATTGAAAAAGGTTGGCGACCCCTGAGCTAAAACACGATCATGGCCATTTTCATTGTAAACAGCCAATATTTCTCACAGTAACTAACCTCCAGCACTTATGATGAGCCTCTTTAGCCGCCGTGACCTGGGCTTCCACCTGTTAAAGACCGCCTCTATATCTCATCGTGTCCTCTGGTGTCGGAGCTTGTGCATTTCCTCATAGGTCACTTGTAAAATGTTTTTTTTTGTTCCCATCGCTGTTGAGACCTGAAGGTTTTAGTGCGCATTCTTCCATCTCTCCGTGGTCGTTATGGAAACAGCCGAGGGAAACTGTTCAATGTAAAAGTGTGTGTTGAAAAGAAGTCTACTCGATCGGTGATTATGCCGCTAACGCCTTACATAAGCGGATGACATATTTTATAACACTAGTACTACAGCGGCCCATGATCCGTATCCTTTTATAGTTTCGCTTTCTTCTGGTGTCAAACAAGTGCAGCTGACGAAGTGCAATTCCCCCCACAGGAAGTAATAATACAATAAAACCTCTCGTACATACTAGAGAAAGCTTTGATACTTGTGGACAATGTGACCTCAGGCGTCGGTGAATGGCAGTAGTAACAGCTGCCATTGATGATTGTTCAGCAATAAATATCAAATACATACACTTGAACTTGTTTTTGGCACGGGTGAAACTCAGTAAAAAATAAATAAATGTTTTTGTTAATTTACGTCCGTTATTCAATGTAATGTGAAACAAATATGTTGCGTATTACCCACAAAGTAAAATGTATGAAGCCTTTTTTGTTTTAATGTTGATGTTGCTCACAACTGTAAAAAAAAACACCATATAAAACATCTGACTGTTTGAATATTTTCATAACGGACTTTAATATTATAACATTGTAATTAACAAAAGCCTTGTCTATGTGTATGAGCCGGATTATAAAATAGTTTCACATTTCATTGAATTGCAGAAATAAATGAAAACAATGTAAACGATTCTAATCTACTGAGTTTCACCTGTAGTAAAATGTAATGGCAGTTCTGTGTAATTTTTTTTTTCTTTGATCTATTTTAAAATGTATTTTCAAGAAGCACGTGCACACACATGGTCTATTGTGCTGTACTCTTGTATGGTGTTTTGAACTGTTCAAACCTATTTGTTTTTTCTAAGGTTTTTTTCATTGAATATTTTCATAACGGACTTTAACATTGTAATTAATAAAGGCCATGTCTATGTATATGAGTCTTACTTTTTTGTCTTATTCAAAAAAGTAAGACAAATCAAACCAAAAAGAAGCATAGAGAATAAACAATATTTGTCAAGTAGCTCCAGAAGAAAGAAAGTGGGTTAACAGAATTGTGAACCAGGGTTCTCCTGCGTGTGGCCCAACTGTGGCCCTTTCTAGCAACAGCCATAACCTGTGGGGTACCGCAAGGGTCCATGCTGGGACCAACATTGTTCATAATGTACATACATGAAATTTGCAAAGTAAGTCATCTTTCACAGACCAGAGTCACAAAGCGCTTTACAATTAAACAGGTTAAACTTAGTCTGCATTTGTTTCTGCATTTTTTTGGTTTTTGTACCCTGTTTATTTTTGTCAGAAGTATATGTCTTAGGATAAGGATTTTCAGCTGATATCATTCATCTTTAGTTCATTTCACAGACGAATTAGATTGGTCTGTATCTTTTTAGACTAGGAATTCAAAGAGACGATGCAATACAATATATTTATACACTCAGTCCAAGCAGAACAATAGATGACAGCTACAGGGGCTGTGTTGTGCATGTTTTCCCAAAAAATTCTAACAACTTCAATATAAAGTGTATAGGTTTTGGCTGCATCCAAAATAATACATAAACAGCTTCCTTGTTCTTTTGAAATTGACCTTTGAGACAGCATTTCTCTGGGTTTGGTTTAGTAAAATCTAAGACATTTTAACAACCTTTCAATGTCACGGCTATTTAATCCTACAAAGGCCAATGAAAAGGAGAACGAAGGACAAGGGCCGGAAGGAGGGAGGTAATTTTTATTTATTTGGAGGCAGCCGCTGTGTCTCTAGCAATAAGTAAACATTTTGTTCTATTGCTAGTTTTCACATGCATGTATATTTTCCCTCTTTTTGTTGTCTTAAAAAGATCAGCTTTTTAAGACAAAAAAGTGAAGAGGAGTGGACCGCCATCACTCAGACCAGATCATCTCTAATATAATATATATATTAGAGATGATCTGTTTGAAAGGGTGATATATTTGTATCACCATTGACAGAAATACACTCATGTTATCATCTATCTACATCCAAACATATGTAAGTAATACACACAGATACCCTTTTCTGTGGGAAAGTAAAGACAGGGTGAGATCCGAGGCACTCTGATAAAAAGTCCTTTAATGAGAGAAGGGACCAACGTTTCGGCCACGCAGGGCCTTCTTCAGGGCAGTGTACATTGCCTCGGATCTCACCCTGTCTTTACTTTCCCACAGAAAAGGGTATCTTTGTTTTGCAATGTTATTTCTCATCCTGAAGAGCACCTGATTTTAATTACGTCTTTGACTTTTGGACCCTGTAGCACTCACTCCTCCTGTTTTCTGAGATGTTTAAGTTATAGGCGGCATTTGCCACCAATGCACTCACATTGTACTTCCCATGAAACCAGAAAATGTCTAAAGTTAACCATAACAGTGGAGTTCAAATCTCCACAGTAAAATGCATAATGTTCTCAGAGATGGGAAAAGTACTGGTCTTAGGTAGTGCTAAGTAAAAGTGAGAAAAAGTATACAAGTAAAATGCATTTTCTTTTCTCCAGGACTCCCTTGAATAAGAGGTGTTTAAGCTCAATGGGACTTTCCTGATTAAATAAAGGTAAAAAAATAAGTTGTGTAATATACCTAAAACGCTATTATATCGTCATATAGACATGTTCTGCCGAATGGTTTTCTGAACTTAGAAGCACGGCTAACCACTTCATGCCTGTTTTTAAAGTCCTGTTCAAATGTAAAGAGTAGAGAGCACAGAACATTTTAAAGTTGTCAGAAAAATAATTAGTAAAACACAATACTGATACCACAAAACAATAATACAATTTCATTTAAAATATGAGTCATAAATAAATCATAACATACACTACATATTTACTTGCCACCTCTGACTGTTACAACGAAAATGGCGGCAATCTTCCAACTACCGTCACAAAAACGGTGAGAGCAGTGAGATAAGTTGATAATTATTGCCGTTATAGATTCCAAGAGCGAACACACGCAGTCCGCCGTAAATGCCATAAACTGCATAATGGAATGTGTCGACACGTCCTGCTTACACCATCATTATGACGATTGTGGCTTCTCCATGGTTACGTGCACTGTCTGAAGTGACAAGTGCCATGAATAAAGAGATGAATAAAAACAATGCAAGTGAATGAGAGAGGTTTTGGTTTCTGTTATAGCCCCGTTCCCACAGAGGAAAAAAAATCACACACAAGCTAATATTTGGTAGAAGTGGTGGTTATTTGTGGTTATTTGGTAAAAGCTTCCACAGGTTTCTGATAGTAAATGGGAAGTTTGACCCACTCCTCTTGGAAGAACCCATGTCAGGTTTGCGGGCCTTCTTGCCTGGACCTGCTTTTTCAGCTCTGCCCACAAAGACTGGTATTGAAGCATTTACAGCATATACAGCTAGCTAAGAAACATAGCTACTACTTATTTTGTATATATTGTGTGCTCCCTGTGTGCTCTTACTACTGTCCTGTCTGTGCGCTGCAACATTGAAATTTCCCCACTGTGGGACGAATAAAGGAACTCTAATCTTTTCTTAAATGTTGAGGTCTGGGCCGTGATCGACACATCTTACAAAGTTCGATTCAAAATATCCACAATTATTTTTTCATGATGCTATTCATTTTATGCACTGCACTAGTTCCCCCCACCCCCCTTTCCCTGCTGTAATACATCCCTCCACAACATGATGCTCCCCCCCTCCTGTGCTTCTCAAGTCAGATGGTTTTCGTGGTGTGCATGTGTCCCCTTCTTTCCTCCAAACATAAAAACAGTCATTAAGATTAAGATTAAGAGATCGTTTTTTCATCCCACAGCGGGGAAATTTCAGTGTTGCATCACAAGTTACGGAAGTGTAGGACTGAGGAACAAACAGCATAAGATAAGTGAACAATAGCTATACTAGTTGAAATAAAACAAAATCTCTAACTCTAGCATCAAAGTCAACTCTAGCAACAAGTATAAAATCTTTATTTTGAACATAGTAATAATAAAGAAGTATACAAGTTTTACATATGGCAAAAAAAAAAGCAAGTATAAAGTACTGTGTATTCTAGTGCCAGCAATGTGTAGTTATATGTAGCATCTGTACATTAGCAGCAGTATGTTTACCTCTGTACATGTTAGCAGCAGTATGTTTACCTCTGTACATGTTAGCAGCAGTATGTTTACATCTGTACATGTTAGCAGCAGTATGTTTACATCTGTACATGTTAGCAGCAGTATTTTTACATATGTACATATTAGCAGTAGTATGTTTGCATCGGTACATGTTAGCAGTAGTATCTTTTGGCCAAACGGTTTCACAAAACACTTCTCCCGAGACTCTGGTCTTTATACCCTGCTACTGTGACCGTCTCCGTGACCGTGGGCTCCTCATGCTCTCTCTCCTGTGGTGTAGGATGGGGGCCTCGGACGACGTGTTCAGCGGCCGCAGTACCTTCATGCATGAGCTGACCGAAGCCTCGGACATCATCTTCCGTGCGACCGAGCGTTCGCTGGTGATTCTGGACGAGCTGGGCCGAGGCACCAGCACTCACGACGGGATGGCCATCGCCTACGCCACTCTGGAGCACTTCGTCACAAAAGTGAGTGTCCTCCTGAGCTTTAAGAACACATGACTTTTTACTAACAGGGCCTTGCATAAGATTCAATACTCTTTCGTGTCATGTAACAGACACAAACATAAAATTTGTATTGTTTGTTTTACTGAAAGACCAAAACAGAGTAACAGACAAAAATTATACATGCTTTTGTTAAGAAAAAAAGACAAAAAACTGAAAAGTGGGGTTTCCTTAAGTACAGCATAAGACTAATCCCCAGCTCCAGCACCAAGATTGTCCTGTATTTTGCTCCATCCACCTTCCCATCAACTCTGCCACTCTTCCCTGTACCTGCTGAAGAAACACAGCCCCACAGCATGATACTGCCACCCCCATATTAGACACAGGCTGAGGGTTATATAGGGTCATATGCAGTACATATATGGCAGACAAAAGCACAATGTGCCCTCTTCAATTGAAACTACTTGAATGAATAACATGTTTCGGAGTTCCTAAAAAGTACCATTTAAAAGTTACACAAAAAACATTTATTTCTTCTTCATGATGTTGTTGCCGGGTTTTTCTCTCCCCGCTGACACGATGACAAAACGCCACCAGGGGCTGATGTCTGCTCACTGTGACAGATGGAGCTCATCACTGTTTGACTTTTACTCGTAACAACTAAATTGTGGTACATTCTGACTCTGATAGCAGCCAGTATTAAGCCGTGTTTATTGCTCGGAATTGCCACCAAATACATACTGCATAAGTTTCTCCCAAGTTGGATTAAAGTGGCGTACATTGGTCCCTGGTTTATTTCGTGGGTTGCGTTCTAAAAGTGACCTGCAATAAGAGAAATCCTTGGAGTAGCAGTTTTGTGCTGCTGAGGCTGTAAAACCCCTCATACTTTGTACACTTTACTAACCACCTGAATTCACGACTGATAAAGTGAGATCAGAGAGATATCAAACCAATTGGTTGTAGGTCTGGGTGCTTCTGCAGCCGTCAAAAGTGCATACACTGAAAAATACAGCTGCAGAGGAGACTGAGGGAGAAGAGCAGGACTGAGGGCTTCGGGAAGACCAGAGAGAGAGAGACTAGAGAGACCGGAGAGAGAGAGACCGGAGAGAGAGAGACCGGAGAGAGAGAGACCGGAGAGAGAGAGAGAGACCGGAGAGAGAGAGAGAGACCGGAGAGAGACCGGAGAGAGACCGGAGAGAGACCGGAGAGAGAGAGACCGGAGAGAGACCGGAGAGAGAGAGACCGGAGAGAGAGAGACCGGGGAGAGAGAGAGACCGGAGAGAGAGAGAGACCGGAGAGAGAGAGAGGCCGGAGAGAGAGAGAGACCGGAGAGAGAGAGACCGGAGAGAGAGAGACCGGAGAGAGAGAGACCCCGGAGAGAGAGAGTCCGGAGAGAGAGAGTCCGGCGAGAGAGTCCGGAGAGAGAGAGACCGGAGAGAGAGTCCGGAGAGAGAGAGAGAGACCGGAGAGAGAGAGAGAGACCGGAGAGAGAGAGAGAGACCGGAGAGAGAGAGAGAGACCGGAGAGAGAGAGAGAGACCGGAGAGAGAGAGAGTCCGGAGAGAGAGAGTCCGGAGAGAGAGAGTCCGGAGAGAGAGAGTCCGGAGAGAGAGTCCGGAGAGAGAGACCTAATGTCACTTTACCAGTGACATTAGCTTGATGCGGTGAGTTTTGGCGCCCTGATCACGGCCTTTCTGATTTAGGGGCTGTAAATGTACATCCAATTTTGAAAAAATTGAATATCTGAACCACTGATATCAGTTAAAGAAGTATTCGAAAAGAACATGGTTTACCTTTTCACATATTGGGGCCATTTAAGGATCATTTGACATGAAAATCTAACATATTGCTAATTTAAGTTCTCACAACGCTCTCATGTTCTGTTTGGTTTTAAAAGGCAGAGAGAGTGGAGCAGGATTTGGAGCATTTCCAGCACCTGTTGCATAAGAATATTGATTTGTCAAGTCCATTTCTATTAATGAAAGCGTCTCAAAGACAGCTGTACTTACAGTCAAAGGACACCCTCCTCCTCCTCTTCCTCTGGCTCGGTTGTTATAGTAACACACCTTTCCTTGTTCCCCATCCTCACCTGAGAGGAAGTGACTGTAGCCAAGTTTTATAAGCGCTCAAAGATTCAGCCTTGATCCAGACGTAGAGGATCAAGGCTTGAGCTGAGCAAAACTAAAAAGGCCTTGGTTTTTCAAAATATAAATGTTCCAAGAATCAAGTCTGTGGCTGTAAACCTGCATTATACTCTTGTTTAATGTAACACTATAAAAACATAAGCTAAACAAGTTGCATAAATTGGAATAATGCAAAATACAGTGTGGCAAAGCCTGTTTAAGTAAGTACGCTTTACAATGTTCAGTTCTAGCTATGATTTGTGTTTGATTTTAACAATTCAATTCAATTAAATGTGTTTTTGTATAGCCCTAAATCACAACAATAGTTATCTCAGAGGACTTTGCACAACCGTTGAATTCGCTAACGCAGATCAGAGAATCAAACAGTTCAAACACAAGAAATAAAAAAGAAACTCATTGGTCCATAAGGGGCAGATGACCTATGTCCATAAGTGTTGATAAAACAGAACATACTTTGGAATTGAGTGGAGAAAAAAAAAGCAAAACATTGAGTTGCTGTTGTCAGAAATACTGCAGCAACGCCTCATCCCTCATCAGTCACAGACCTGCAGCTGTTTTTAGATCCATTCACGCTAATATCAGGAGCTTCTGGCACAGACATGTGGCTCCGACCCCTTCAGTCTAAAAGCTTCTGTCTCAGTCCTGCAGTTGTATGATGTCATTGTACCACTATAACTTTGTCCTTCGAGATAATTACTGTTATGATTTTAAAGGAATAGTTCACCGTTTTTACATACTGACATATGTTCTGACCTTACCTTAGACTAGTTAATACGTACCTGTCTGGTCTTAGTCCGTGCGCTCTGTCATGCAAACGGAGCAAAAACGGGAGCACAAACGCAGCCTCCTCTGTATACTGTATAGTACCCAAAAGGTATCTCCCGCTAGAAGCTACCAAACTCTTCCAAGTGTTCCCTATTAAATGTATATAGTTACGTGACGTGTTACACTGCAAAGTATAGTAACACAGAAATGTAACTGTCGATTTTCTCAGCGGATAAAACGGGTACTATATTGTGAGGCGTAGTAATCTGAGTAGCGCTACGTCCGCGCACTAACTTCTCTCCGGAGACTTCTCTCTCGCTCACTTCCGTCAATAGAAGCAGCGTGACTTGTAGTACGGAGAGAAGTACGGAATTTCTGTGTTTGCAACTGATGATTTTCTAATTTGGAAAAAACGAACTCCTCCCTCTGGTGGTAGAACAGGAAATTACACAGGCTGATAGCATTTTTGTGTATTTGTGACGTATGTTATGCTGTTTGCATAAAACACACACAATATATGTAAAAAGTAAAAGTTGGTGTTAAAAGCCAAGGCGTTAAAAAAATGTGACTACAGACGCCAAGACTTCCCTCTCCACACACCTCCTCCAGCTCATCGTTCCCAGGCCAGATGAGACACACAGTCCTCTCAACGTGTCCTAGGTCTAATGATTCATGCATTTAAAATCCAAAACAAAATTGAATACTTTCCTGAATCAAAAAGTACTTATTTAAGCATGTTCTGCCTTAAATTGTGTGAAGTTTTGGGCCGTATTCCGCGTCTCTTTTTTACATTTGAATCCTTATTCTCATTTCCAAACCTGTGGGTATCGACACAGCCGATCAGCAGTAAATTGACATTGAGTACATGTCACTGATTGATCGTGAGTGTTGTGTGCTAATTGCGTGAGCGGAGCTGTCAGTGCCCCCCAGGGTGTCGGCAAGATGATGGTCCATGAGCGCTCCATTATGTGGGCGGAGCCTGTGTGACCTGCGTCTGACTGCGGAGGCGGACAGCCCTGATGGAGCCTCACCTTTGGAACAGACACTGGTCTCACAGCAGGTCGGCCACGTCAGCAGCACACTCGAAAAAGAGACGAAATAATGATTCATTTCAGCTAAATATTTGGACTAGAATAATGTGGAACAATCTATAACAAGAAATAACAACGTAATAGTTATCAAATTTAATGGCAGAAAATAATACATCATATTTCTACTTTAGACTTCAGCTTTATTTATAATCATTACATTCGGTTTATTCTGGGAAAGTCTTGAAAAAAGTAAAGGTTGTGAGCAATTAATCGGATTTAGGCTACATAATTTATCTCACCAGTGGCAATTTGTTTGAGCAGCACCGGGCATAAAAACCATAAACTGTAAATGTTAACGGTCGTAGTGACGCCTATCTCCGCTGTTGAAACTTATGTGCTATAATTTTTTTAAATGGCCGTCAGTGGCCCTTCTTGTGGGAAAATGTGGGGGAAACATTTTTGCATGCATTATCCGCACGATCCAATTTAATTTGATGAGTGCATTCTGAAGTCCACAGCGCCTAAACTAGAATGGTCCACAAATAAATACTCCCTTCAGCATTGACAGCCTCTGGAACGTAGCGTTGAGCCAAGAGCCGACTTTTGGACCAGTCTGTAAAGCCATTTTCGAGAGGAAAGAATTGGTCGTAACAATTCAGTGGATAATTCTGTTTCCTAGTACACCCCCACCGACATGATCCTTTTGAGCCGGGACCCGCTCTCACTGATAAGAACACAGGAAATGTCACACAGTAATATAAAGTGGAGCCTATAGAAACATATGAACATAATACAACAATATAAGCTCTAACACCAAAGTCCATGTCACAATATGGTGCAACATACGTCGTCCTGATGGAAGTGGAGGACATTATGGTTGCAGAGAGCTGACGGTTCCCTGAATCCAATGACTTTTGAGCAGATGGGCACAATTCTATCAACATTATTTCTGTCTGCAAAAGATTATGGATGCAGCAGATAAAGGAGAAGCACAGAAGGTTCTCAAAGAAGGCCGGATAAAACCAAGACAAAATAGTGTAGCTGACTTCAAAGGAGACATCATGTGGTCTTATCTAATGACAAAA